GTTATCCCGGCGACGATTTAACAAAATCGTCGCACAAAATGTGCTCAAATTTTTTTTTTCGAATTTAGTAGCGACGGATTATTTAATTCGTCGCTAGTTCTCGGATATAGTAGCGACGAAAACAGGAAACGTCGCAAAGATTAACTTATTACTCAATCAGGCCCTAATTAGATCTATTTCCTCCCGGCCTTTTCTCTCAAACTCTCCCCCTCTCCATCTCCTCCGATCTGCCCTCGCCGTTGCCGTCGCCGACCGCCGCCCACCGCCGCCGTCTGCTGCTGAGCCGTCGCCGACATCCGCCCGCCCGCCGCCGCCGTCTGCTGCTCACCCGTCGCCGACATCCGTTCGCCCGCCGTCATCCAGCCGTTGCCCCCAATTCCTTTGCCGTCGCAGCCGTCCGCCGCCAGCCCTCCGCCGCCAGCCCTCCGCCGTTGCCGACAGCCATCCGCCGTCCGCCGCCAGCCCTCTACCGCTACTCCTCCAATTTCAAGGTAATTTTATGTTTTTTTAAATGTTTCTTTGTTTATGTTCAAAATTACTTGGGTGTTCGATTATCGATCTATTTTTAGGTTTTTTGTCGGAATTATGTGTTTGTTTGTTTTATGTTGATTTGATGAGCCTTGATATTTTTTATGTAATTGGTATTGTTTTTCATTAAAGGTTTACATGTCATTATCTATTTTTCATTTAGATGGTACTAAAGTGAGAAACAATTGGTATTTGAACTATCCATCTCCTTTGTTAAATTTGTATTCTTTGTTGTTTAACATAAATTTTATGTGAGAAATAAACAGAGATGTGTGAGAGGTTTGTGTGTGTGGTATCAAAGAAAGAAACATGATATTTTTTTTTTTTTTTTTTGAAAAATAACTGAAAATTCTGGAAACATACTACCCAAATCGGAAATGTATGTTTCATTGTGGAAATTTTCGAAAAATAACTGAAAATGTCCGAAAAAATTCCGAAAATGAAGATTTCCGAAAATTTCCGATTTTCCGAAAATTCCGATAACAATTTTCCGAAACACCCAAATCCGATCCGATCCGTCCGATTTCCACTCCTAATTATGACTATAAAATATATAAATAAATAAATAAACCTTTTCGGAAAAATATTGAAAAATTGCTTTAAATTAGGGTAAATTACAATCACATCCTAAGGTAAAGCTAAATTATGAAATTTTGAAAAATTGCTTTTAATAATTGTGATCCTTCCCAATTTCTAGGTAATCTTGTTAATTAAAGCATGCCAAAAGATAGGAGTTGGGTTTTATTAGGTGATCGTCGGTTAGCAGCATATCAAAATGGTTGTGTGGAATTTATGGATTTTGCCTTCGCTAGATGTGACGTTGATAATAAAATAAGATGTCCATGTAGAGACTGTAAGTGTCGTAAATGGGGGGATCGTGAATTCGTTCATAAACATTTACTTTGGAGGGGTTGGGATAAGATGTATGGGCAACGCCGATGGACTCTGCATGGAGAGTCCGAAGAACAATACATTGGCGATGAAATGAACAATACTAATCATACAGAAATACTCGAAGTTGCAATTTCAAATGAACCTGTTGATGTACGTGATAACATGGAAGACTTACTGCATGCGTGTCTTCATCACGATCATCATCACGATCAAGAAGATCTGCACGAAGAACCCAACCCCGAAACTGATGATTTTCGTACCCTCATTGAAGAGTGGTGCATCCCCGTTTATGATGGATGCCGGGTATATACTAAACTTTCTTTTGTCATGGAGTTCTACAAAATTAAGTCTCGTGGCAAGATGAGTGATAATACATTTACTGAAACCCTTCAGTTAATGAGAAAACTTGATTTTTTAAATATACCCGACTCTTTTTATGAAGTTAAGAAGCTCATCGGTAAATTGGGGTGTGGTTACGTCAAGATTGATGCGTGTGAGAATGACTGCATGCTGTTTTGGAAGGATGACTTGAACTTAAATGCATGCAAAGTGTGTAATGCTTCAAGATGGAAGAATCCAGTAGAAAACCAACCGAGTTCTTCAACCTCTCAGCGCAAAAGGGTACCGAAAAAAGTTCTGCGACACTTTCCATTGATTCCGAGGCTCAAGCGGCTATTTATATGTCAAAAATCAGCAATTAACATGAGATGGCACGCTGAGTCTCGATGTAACGATGGCGTTCTCAGGCACCCTGCTGATTCTGATGCTTGGAAAGAGTTTGACAAGAAGCACGAGTCATTCTCTTTGGACCCTCGAAATGTAAGGCTTGGCTTGGCTACTGACGGTTTTAATCCCTTTGGATCATTGAGCAGCAAACATAGCACATGGCCTGTAATTCTAATGGTTTACAACTTACCACCAAATATGTGCATGCAACGCTCTAATATGATGATGTCATTGCTTATTTCTGGTCCTAAAGGCCCGAAAAATGGCATTGATGTTTATCTACAGCCGTTGATCGACGAGCTTAATGAGTTGTGGGGTTCTGGGATAACAACTTTTGATTCGTACACCAAGCAATATTTTAATATGCGAGCCGCACTTTTGTGGACTATCAACGACTTCCCTGCGCTTGGTAACTTGTCGGGGTGGAGTACAAGTGGCTATCTTGCTTGCCCAAGTTGTGCCGAAAATACTGTGTCTGAACGTTTGTACAAGTCTAACAAACAGTGCTATATGGGTCATAGTCGTTTTTCTGAAGACGGGGCTCCACCTCCGCCTTCAGGAGATGAGGTGTTATCAAAAACGGAGGGTATAAATGTTACATTTGGCGTAGGCCAAACAGTGCATCGAGCTTCCCAATGGAGAAAACGGAGTATATTCTTTGAATTACCGTACTGGAAAGATAATCTCATTCGGCACAATCTTGATGTCATGCATATTGAGAAAAATGTCGGTGAATTATTGCTTAGGTGGTTATTAAATATTCTTGGCAAAAATGACGGGTTTGACAATGCTAAGGAGGACATTGGAAAAATTAAAAAGCCACCGTCAGGCAAATCTGGTCCTCGATTTCCCAATCTCGTTCCAAAATTAGGAAAGTATCACAAGTTGTCTTCCCAATCCAAGAAGGCCGTGTGTGATGTTATAGCAAATGTTAAGGTTCCTAACGGCTATGCATCTAATATAGCCCGTTGTTTTGGTGAAGACAAAATAGGGGGATTGAAAAGCCATGACTACCACGTACTAATGCAGCAGTTGCTTCCATTAGCAATCCGTAACGTGGACTTACCAAAAAAGTTGGCTAGTACAATAATCCAGTTGTGCAGTTTTTTTCGAGAATTGTGTTCAAAAACTAACTCAATTGAAGATTTTCGAAAACTGCACTCCGACATTGTGAAAATTTTGTGTGATCTTGAGAAATTGTTTCCTCCGGCATTCTTTGTTGTTATGATGCACTTGCCGGTTCATCTAGCTCATGAAGCAATGGTTGCTGGACCGGTGAATTATAGATGGATGTATCCGATAGAGAGGTACTTAATTTATTTAAAAATCTAATTTCTTTACTTCAATAAATATTTATTTTTAATAAATATTTATTTCAATCTCAGATACTTGGGTCACTTAAAGTCATTTGTCCGAAATAAAAAGTGCCCCGAGGGTTCAATTGCTGAATGCTACATCACTGAGGAGTGCTTAAATTTTTGCTCATTGTACACAGAAAGTTCATCTATGAACATTTCTGTCGATGATAGACAAGGCAATGAAGTGCGATCTAAGTACAGAACTCTTACTTATGATGAAATGGAAAAGGCACACAACTATTGTCTTTTTAACTCTGATGAAATTCAACCGTACATTGAGTAAGTTACTTATAAAAATCTTAAAACTACTACTATTTTCATTTGATTTTCATCCAATAAAAAACACAATTATTTTAGGGAGCACTTCGAGACCATTAAGAACAAAATCTCGACAAGTGACCCTGCTTACCAATGGCGCATTCAGCAATTACAAGACAAAGAATTTCGTCATTGGTTCCAATCCTACGTAAGTGTTTGGTTTAACTTTAGCTTAGTTTGTAAATGGTTTTAAAACGTAAAAATGAATAATTGGTGACTACATAGGTGCAAGGAAAGAGTGAACTGAGAGACGATATCAAAGCTTTAGCTTGTTCTCCTCAATTTAGAGTGAAGACTTTCAAGAGATTTGAAGTGCAAGGATTTATGTTCCGCACAAAGTCATCTGAAGAGTCTCTTTCAACTCAAAACAGTGGTGTTTTTGTCAAAGCAAAGACAACTACTTTCGCGAACTCCAAAGATAAATCTCCGAAAGAAGAAGACGTAGGGTACTATGGCGTAATAAAAGATATTATTGAACTCTCATTCGCCGTAGGTACAAAGAGGGTAGTTTTATTCGAATGTGATTGGGCTAATACTCGCATGAACAAGACGGACGGTTTGGGCTTTACACTTGTGAACTTAACAAAGCCAGATATAAAAGCAAGTCCCTTTGTTCTTCCATGTCAAGTATTGCAAGCTTTTTACGTTGATGTTCCACGTGATAGGCCATGGGTGGTTCCGATTGTTATTAAACCAAGAGACAACTTTGCTTTGACTCCTGATGATCTCAATGTAGTTGAAGATGAATGTTATGAGATACTTCCTATAAATAATGACATAAATGCTATAGATGATATGGAAGAGTGAATAATTATTTTTGTTGTTCTAATATTTTTTTGAAGTCTTGTTAATTAGCTTGTTTGGATTGTAATGTACTTGTTTTAATGTTATCATTTTATTTGCCATAATTTATTATTGTTATTTGTATATATATTTCTGTATTGTATCTTATTTGCTTTCTCAGGTGAGCAATGTCGACGGAAGACATTTCTGTTGAGCCTATAGGTGATGAGTCTACAAGTACCGACATAGTTGATTTGGAGTTTGACGGTATGGGTATTCCCGTTGCACCCGGGAGGTACAAGTTGGCGGTGGCAATTAGTAACGAGGTTACACATTGGGACAATTTTGATCCGTCTATTTCATGGCCTAAGCACAAGAAAGAGGGTCGTGTCGAAGGATTGTGGAGAGCATTTAAGGTATTTGAAAGTTCAAATTATTTTATTTATTTCAGTTATTATAATTATTTTGTTATCAATTAATTATGAATTTTTTTGTATGCCTTTTAGGTAACGTGGAAACTTCCTGAAAATGAGGCTACGAAGAAATGGTTCAACGAGACGGCCAATTGTCGTTGGAAAGATGCAAAAAATAAAAGATTGAAGGCGGTTTTTGATAAAGCGCCTAACCTTGCAGCTGCTAAGGCAAATCTTCCGGATAGGATTAGCGCTCAAACTTGGGAGAGGCTGTGTGATCAGTTTCATTCTATTTCTACTCCGGGGGATGATGGGAAGGTAATATGATTTTAATTTATGATTATATTTTCATATGTTTATGTGTATTAATTTGTGCAATATTTTTCACAGTCCAAGTCCACTAAATGCAAGGACTCAAGAAAGAAAGTGTCGACAGACCACCATTGGGGTCGAACAAGTATCAATAGTTGGTCCTATAATCATGTAAGTGGCTTAATCTATAATTTTAATTTATTTAAGTTTATATAAAATACATACTTATTGTATAATCTATTTTTTAGTTTAAAAAGTTTGGCAAAAATCCTACCGTGGTTGACACGTATAAGAAAGCCTACATGGGCATTGATGCGTTGAGGGAAACCGGACCATCTATTAGTGAGGAAGGAGAGACAGAGCCGTATAACGGGACAGCAACTCCTGAACAACTTCTCATTTCGGTAAGTAAAGTGTAATTATATTCTTCAATCGGTAGTATGTTTAGATGTGTGGCTATGGATTTTTTTTTTGAGTAAATATGGTTTTGGTTATGTTTAGATGTGTGGCTATGGATATTCTTTATATATTTAGATGTGTGGCTATGGATATTTTTTTTTTTTAATATGTCAAGTTGTTGTTGTGTACTGGTAAGGATTTTTTTTGGGTATGCTCGTATTTAGATGTTATGCTGTCGAATTTTTTGCTAAACTTTTGTACATAATCATTTTCAGGCTGATTTGGAGCGAATTTATGACGAGACCATGCGTGATGGAAGTGACGAAAGCACGGCCAACTCGACTGCAATTGAAAAGGTTTTGGGAAAGAGTAAAGGCCTTGGAATTAAAAGTTCAAGCACAAGGATTGGAAAGTCGAGATTTTCTTCGACTCCATCAGACGTGGAGATTCAACTGGAGATTCAAATGAAGGCAATGCAAGAACAAATGCAAATGAAAGACGAACAAGTGAATCGATTGGAACAACAATTGAACGAAAACCGAGAAACAAATAAAGTTAAAGATGAAAAATTTGATCGATTAGAACAGCAATTGCAGGAAACCCGAGCTCTTTTGAACAACTTGCTCGAGCGTTTTAATGGTGGAGTATAAAAACGAGATGAAATTAGTGTGCCTCTTGAACTAATACATTTATGGTTTCAAGTTTTTATGTAATTTTTGAATTGATGTTCGTGTTGTATTTTGATATTTAATTGGTAATCGTGGTTTTTAATATTTTTGAGTAAATATGGTTTTGGTTTTTTTTTTTTATTTTTTTTAACAGGGGATTTTATTTGTAATAAAAAATAATTAAAATAAATAAATTAATCAAAAAAAAAAAACGTTTGCGACGAAATATAATACAGTGTTCGTCGCAAAAAAAAATAGAACCGGGCGACGAAACAACTATTTCGTCGCCCACAGATTCGGTGAACTTGCGACGAATTAAACAAAATTCGTAGCAAATACATGCGACGATATTAGTTTTCCGTCGCTAACAATAAAAAAATAATTTTTTTCAGAAAATACGGTTTTTGCGACGAATGTGTGGTTTCGTCGCCAATCTTTGCGTCGTAATTGAATTTTCGTCGCTGACTTTGCGACGGGGCATTACGCGACGAATTTTTAATCATTTGGCGACGAAATTAAATCGTCGCAAAAGGCGAAAAAACGTCGCTACGTGACGAATTTCGTCGCGAAATTTCGTCGCCAGTGTTGCATTTTGGCCTAGTGTTAGGAAAATAAAATCAAAATAGAAGAGAGGATCGCTCAACATCTTCGGTAGTGCCCACGAAGTCGAGCATAACTTTCTCATTCGGACTCCAAATCGACTGGTTCCGGCGGCATTAGAAAGCTATTTCAGCTGGCTACAATTCCTGTCTAATGTCAAATTTCCAAATTCGGACTCGAACATGGTCAAAATTGGATTCCAACAGCGATCATGTACCCGCTACAGTTCGAGGACACGAATGCGCATCAAAAAACGTGCACAAAAACACTCGCTACAAAAGATACGCACATAAGTAAAAGTACAAAAGCATGCACAAAAGTACTCACGCAAAAGAGCATTCGCAAAAAGGATCACAAAAACACTAACTACAATCCTAGGACATTAATACAAATCAACAAACATGCAAGAACACACTCGCTCAAATGGACATGCACAAACGTACATGTAAAAAAACATGCGAAAAAGTGCATTCACAACAACATTCTTAAAAACACGAAATACAACACTAGGACTTTAATACGCATAACCAAACAATAGCAAAAACACTAAATACAAAAGATACAGTGGAGTGTAGAAATAACACTCAACGTTTACGTTTACGTGGATTTTTTTGTGGATTAATTTTTATTTTTGTTTTAATTAGTGGATTTAGTATCTTATAGGTACAAACTGATAATTAGATGTCCATGAAGCACAAATGATCACAGAGTAAGAAAAGAGTTGCAGTTAGGAAAACAAAATCAAATTAGAAGAGAGGATCCCTCAACATCTTCGGTAGTGTCCACGAAGTCGAGCATAACTTTCTCATCCGGACTCTAAATCAACTGGTTCGGGCGGCATTAGAAAGCAATTTTATCTGGCTACAATTCCTGTCTAATGTCAAAATTCCGAATTCGGACTCGAACATGGTCAAAATTGGATTCCAAAAGCGATCATGAAAATACGTGCTACAGTTCGAGGACACGAATGCGCATCAAAAAACGTGCACAAAAACACTCGCTACAAAAGATACGCACATAAGTTAAAGTACAAAAGCATGCACAAAAGTACTCACGCAAAAGTGCATTCGCAAAAAGGATCACAAAAACACTAACTACAATCCTAGGACATTAATACAAATCAACAAACATGCAAGAACACACTCGCTCAAATGGACATGCACAAACGTACACGTATAAAAACATGCGAAAAAGTGCATTCGCAACAACGTTCTTTAAAACACGAAATACAACACTAGGACTTTAATACGCATAACCAAACAACAGTAAGAACACTAGATACTTTTTTTTTCTTTCGGAGTGTAGAAATAAACACTCAACATTTACGTTTACGTGGGTTTTCGTATGGATTAAATTTATATTTTTGTTTTAATTGGTGGATTTAGTATTCTATAGGTACAAATTGATAATGAGGTGTCCATGAAGCAAAAATGATCAATGAGTAAGAAAAGAGTTGCGATTAG